TTCTCTGCGCGCTCTCCCCACCCCGCCCCATGCAGCATTCATTTTCTTTGCGAAGGGGAAAATCCTTTTTTTTAAATAACAACAAACAATAAAACAACAACAATAATGCAATGCTTTTTTTCAAACTTGGCAACTTTAAGATGTGTGAACTTTTAACTTCCAGACTTGCCTCCAGAAGGTTTTCAAGAAGAGACTGGACAGCCATTTGTCTGAAATGGGATAGGGTCTCCTGCTTGAGCAGGGGGTTGGGCTAGAAGATCTCCAAGGTCCCTTCCAACTCTGTAATTCTATGTTCTCAGGGATGGAGTTCAGTCAGACCTGCATTGCTTGTTCATGGTGGGTGAGAAATGTCGGAATTATCTGCCCTAATCTGTTTGAACCCCACATGTGTCATGTTGACAGACAGAAAACGGCATCCTGTTGCCCTCTCTTCAGTCTGCCCTCCCATTCCTGGACCTTCATGGCACCCCTAGGCTGGAGTTCCACCAGTCGGTGTTTGATGAACTGCGTGAGAAGCTTCTGGAGAGGGTCTCGGCTATTGCCGCTGAAGGAAAGGCCAATGAAAGGTAGGTTGGCTGGACCACTATCGAAGGGATCTGCACTTTGGGCTGAAAATGGACCTCTTGTCTTCTCCTTTCTTCTCCCAGGTACAAAAAGCTAGAAGATCTTCTGGAGAAGAGTTTCCCTTTGGTAAAGATGCCGTCCATCCAGCCAGTGGTGATGTGCGTCATGAAACATTTGCCCAAGGTAGAAACTAAGAAAATCACTGTTAAATTAGGTGCCATCTGAGTTTATAGTCAAAGGGTAATCCGTGGTTTGCTTAGGTGGAATTCAGGGTCATTCTTAGAAAGTCCTGTGACTGCCTGCCTGCCTGCCTGCCTGCCTGCCTGCCTGCCTTCCTTCTTTCCTTCCTTCCTTCCTCCCTCCCTCCCTCCCTCCCTCCTCCCTTCTTCTTTCCCCTTCCTTCTTTCTCCTTCCTTCTCTTCCTTCCTTTCTTCCTTCCTCCCTCCCTCCCTCCCTTCTTCCTTCTTTCCCCTTCCTTCCTTCCTCCCTTCTTCCTTCTTTCCCCTTCCTCCTTCCTTCCTTCCTTCCTTCCTTCACTTTCCTTCTATCCTCTCTCCCTCCCCCTTTATGTAGAAGTCAATTTCCTCTGTTCCTGTCTAAAATTCCCCTTTATTCAGAACCTAATGTGTAAGGGCTATCCAGGTCCAGAGGAGGCGTTTTTCACCCAGGGTATTTCTTCCTCCCTTCCTTAGTGGCTGAATTCCATCCCCAAAAAGGACTGACGTTGTGAATTATGCTTGCTTGACTCAAACCCGCCCTGTGTCAACATCTTTACAGCTTGTGCCCATGTTTTTAGTAACGTCTTGACAGGGGGAAAAGAGCAGGCTATGGGACTCCAGCAGCTCTGTTCCTCTCTAGCTTTAGAAACAGTTTTACCAAGCCTAGAAAATGGTGAGGTTTACATATTCTGTCAGCATTTGATTTGGCTTTGTTTCGCTTTGGCCTGTCGTCAGAAGCCAGACATTAACTGGGCTTCCTGGTTTAGCAGAAGTAAACCACGCAGGAACTCGGCCAAGGGGGAATTGTCCAACAAACCATGTTTTTAAAAGAACATGGCTTGGAACAGTGGAGGAAAGTCAGCCCACTATCTACCCTTGGCACCGGGTTGGTTTTTGAAATGGCTGCTTGTTGGGGCAGGGAATGGGTGATCTTTTGAGTCCTGAACAACGTGGTGTTATGAAAAGACACTGAGGCATAACACCCAGAGGTTAAAACTATGCTTCACTAGGCGCCCTAGATGTAGAAATACAATAGAAACATGGCAGAACAAGAAACAGGAGGCTCCAGAAGTAGAACTGAAAAAAACATTCGGTACAAACCGGGGACCCTCCTTTTGCAACTGGCTCCTGATGTTGTGCTTGAACCCAGGTCCCCGAAAAAAAGTTGAAGCTGGTGATGGCCGACAAGGACCTGTATAGAGCCTGTGCCGTGGAAGTGAAACGCCAGATCTGGCAAGATAACCAGGCTCTGTTCGGAGACGAGGTCTCCCCGTTGCTGAAGCAGTACATTCTGGAGAAGGAGAACGCTTTATTCAGCAGCGACCTCTCCGTGCTGCAGAACTTCTTCAGCCCTTCCCCTAAGACCAGGCGGCAGGGAGAGGTAAGCCCCAAGAAGGATGAGTTGGAGGTAGTTTGGGCCACCAGCTTGGAGACTTTGGGGAAAACTTTGAACTTTCCCGCCGCAAAAGAACGAGAGGCACCCAATTCTGCCCAGGGCTGTGGAGTCGGAGTCGAGGAGTCGGAGGAAATTTTGGGTACCTGGAGTCGGAGTCGGCAAACAATGCACCGACTCCTACTAAATTTAGATTGGAATTAAAAAAAAAAGCAAGTTTAAACGTCCCAATTCACAAAAAGTTCTAATTAATGACTTCTCTACTGTAAGAATAAAGACCAGTGCATGCAGTGCCTCACGTAACCGCAAAACGAACACGTTAAGTGACCGTGAAGAAGCATGCTTTTCATGTGCTTCACTATATGGCACGCAACGCACAATTAGGAGCGGCAATACTTAGACTTTCCATAGTGTTGTGTTCTGCTGTTACAGGGAACGCAGCGCCCATGGGTAACCTAGCCTCTCACTGATAAGGGATTAAGTAAATGTTTTTTGCAGGACTAGAGACACTTGTATAAGTGAAGGGAATGGAGGGTCAATAGTTCAAGACTGAAGCTGTAAACCATTGGAAAAACTGCTGTCATTCAGCTAAGGCTATA